TAAACACATAAAAATATGTTCAACATCATTAGCCATTAGGGAAATGCAAATTAAAAGCTTAATCAGATATCACCACACACCTATTAGAATGGCTAAAATTAAAAAAAATAGTGAAAATACCAAGTACTGGTGAGAAGACTGAGAAACTGAATTTCTCATACATTACTGGTAGTAATTGTAGTGACACTGAAGGATTTTATGTCTGATCGAGGACCATGAGATGGCATTAGCACATAAGTTTTGTTTGGGTAGTGTTTTGAAAGATTTTCACCCAGGGACGTCCCTCACAGCATGAGACCATCCAGACTGCAACACAGGTTGTAGAAGAGGTCAAGGGAACTCACTGGGGAGAGGAGCTTGATAGGTCTACATGATGTCACTAGGCAGCATGCTAGGGACTCTCTGGGTCAGAGAACTCTGAAGGTCAGCAGCAGCTTGGGGTCTTCATTGCCCCTCATTTTATCTTATCTATGATTAGCAAATGTCAGCTATAGTTTTACAGGATATATAAAGCAGACACTAAGAATATGCTTATGTTTAAAATGATTGGATGTGTAAAATTTTGAGATTGGTACCATCAGGCTTTTGAGCTAATGGGTTCCCAGCCTGAAATGAAGAAGTAAACAACATAGGGCCAATATATAGAGGCCATTATTGGCTCATTTATATAACAATCCATCCCCTGGATCCATGTCTTTTTGTCTGTTTCTTTTGTTTTGTATTTTGTAAAATATATATAACATAAGATTTACAATTTTAAGTGTACAATTCAGTGGCATTCAGTGTTGTACATCACCACTATTTCTAGAACTCTTTCGTCATCCCAAACAGAAACTGCATACCCATAAATAAAAAAAATAACTTCCCCTTTCCCTCTCCTTGCAGCCCCTGCCAACCTCTGTCTGTCTCTCTGAATTTGCCTATTGTAGGTACCTCATATAAGTGGAATCATACAATATTCACCCTTTTGCATCTGGCTTCTTTCACTTAGCATAATGTTTTCAGGGTGTAACCATGTTGTAACAGATGCTTTCAATTTGGGGGGTATGTACCTAGAAGTGGAATTGCTGGATCATATGGTAATTTTATGTTTAACTTTTTGAAGGACTGTCAAACTGTTTTCCATGGTGGTTATACCATTTTACATTCCTACCAGCAATGCACAAGGGTTCCAATTTTTCTACGTCCTCACTGGTACTTGTTTTTTCCTTTTTCCTTTTTCTTTTTTTTTAATATGGTAGCCATACTAATGTGTATGTGGAGTGGTATGTCATTGTGGTTTTGATTTGTATTTCCATAATGACTAGTGATGTCCAGCATCTTTTTGTGTGCTTATTACCCATTTGTGTATCTTCTTTGGAGAAATATCTAATCAAGTCCTTTGCCCATTTTCAAACTGAGTTATTTGGTTTTTGTGGTTGAGTTTTAGGAGTCCTTTATATATTCTGGACATTAATCCCTTACCATACTTGTATAGATGATTTGGAAATATTTTCTTCTATTCTTTGGGTTGTCTTTTCACTCTCTTGATTGTGTCCTTTGATGCACAAAAGTTTTTAATTCTGATAAAGTACAGTTTATCAATTTTTTCTTTGTTGCCTATGCTTTTGGTGTCATATCTAAGAAATCATTGCCAACTTCAGTATCATGAAGATTTCCACCTTTGTTCTCTTCTAAGAATTTTACAGTTTTAGCTTTCACATTTCAGTTTACCTGTCTGGTCAAGAGGCTCCAGGATGCAAATTTTGGGCTTTCTGCAACTTCTCATTTTAACTCTTATCATCAGGAGGACTAGTGGGAGAGCCAAAGTGATAGCCTCTTTTAGTTTATCTAGTACCCATTGTTGCTCAGATTCTCACTGAAAAGTAGAAGACTTACAGGTGACTTGATAGCAAATATTGGAGGTAGAGAATGTGTTAGAGCCAGAATCCAAATAGTCCTATCAAATGTTGGACCTTCTTTACACATGGGGGAGGTTGGAGCACTAGGAACTTGTCTTACTAGACAGAAATAGTTCACACTTCTTCCAATGTGCTTCTTTCCAAATGTAGCTCCAAAACTGAACAGACTGGGAGAGGTCTTGTACCTTATATGGGACAATTGCCCATCTGCAGTAGAATGAATGTTTATATTCCCCCCAAATTCATATGTTGAAATCCTAACATCCAATGCAATGGCATTAGGAGATGAGTAATTAGGTCATGGATTAGTGATGATGGGATTAGTGCCCCTATAAAAGAGACCACAGAGAGCTTTCTTGCCCCTTCTGCTCTCATGGATTAGTGAGGATGGGATTAGTCCTTTTATAAAAGACCACAGAAAGCTTTCTTGCCCCTTCTGCCATGGGAGGACACAGTGAAAAGACAGCTGTCTGTGAACCAGGCAGAGGGCCTACACCAAACACTGAGTCTGCTTGTACCTTGATCTTGGGCTTTCCAGCCTTCAGAACTGTGAGGAATAGATTTCTGTTTTTAATAAGACACCCAACCTGTGGTAGTTTGTTATAGCAGCCCAAATGGACTAAGACACCATCCCCTCTCAGTGAGGTGTTTGCTCATAGTTGCAGTGGCCTGTGAGACAGAGTTTTGGTCAGGTCCAGTGAGGAGCATGTCATCAGTGTAATGCCAAAGCTGAATTCTTGCTGGGAATGTGGGGCAGACAGCTAGGTCATGTCTGCAAAGCACATGTGCAATCCCAGAGCTATTTACGTATCCCATAGGCAGCTGGCAATAGATGTACTGTTGACCTTCAAAGGTGAAGGCAAATTGTGGTTGACTCTCCTGCAAAATGTTTACTGAATAGAACCACGTTAGGCAAGTCTATAACTTCACACCATTTGCCTATGTGGTTTTGAATGTCATCCGTTAAGATAATAGAGGTGCTCTAATAAGTTCAGACTGCCACTTTGTCTCAGAGATCCTCTCAGCTCTCTGATAACAGGCGAGAAAGAAGCCACTCGGTTAGCACCTGGAGAAGTTGGGATATGTGTGGTCTAACTCCTCTTCTTGAAGCTGCAACTGGAGGTTCCCTCCTGATCCTATGGCACTGTGCTGGGGGTGGGATTGCGGTGAATGGGTGTCTCTGCTTTTCCTACTGGTTTCACTGTGGCTGTTTCCACACTCACCTTTAGTGCCAGAGCCTCTCAACTAATTTCTGGATTTCTCACAAAAGGAATTGATTCTTATGTTGCCGTTGAATCAGTGTGTCTGTGAAGGGAAGGAGAATCCAGGGCTTTCTATTCCTCCATCTGGCTGATGTCATTCTTTTCTCTTATCATTTATTTTTAATTAATTATTTATTTGTGTTTATTGAAATGTAATTGTACATATCTGTTGGGTACAATGTTGAATATCAATACCTATGTGCAATATGTGATGCTCAAATCAGGATAATTAGTATATTTAATTGTACATTACACAGTGTAATTATTTTTTGTGGCCCTTTACCAATTTCTCACTAACCTGCCCTCTTTCTCCCCCTCCCCTGGTGGCCTCAGTTCTGTTCTCTTTTTTTGAAAGTTCAATGAATTGCTGTGATTGTTGTCTGTCTGTCTTTTTTTATTTATTCAGTTTTTTTTAGCTCCCACTTATGAGTGACGACATACAGTATTTCTCTTTCTGATCCTGGCTTATTTCACTTAATGTAATTTTCCCTAAGTTCATCCACGTTCCTGTGAATGGTAGAATTTCATTCATAGTATTCCATTGTGTATATATACCACATTTTCCTTATCTGGTCATCCGATGATAGACATGTAGGTTGGTTCCAGCTCTTGGCTATTGTAAATAGAGCTGCAATGAACATGGGAATGCAGATATCCCTTCAACAAGATGATTTCCATTCCCTTAGGTATACCCCGCAGCAGGATTGCTGAATCATATGGCAATTCTATCTGTAGTTGTTTGAGGAACCTCTGTACTGTTTTCCATAATGGTTACACTAATTTATAGTCCTACCAACAGTGTAGGAGGGTTCCCCTTTCTCTGTATCCTTGTCAGCATTTGTTATTCTCATCTTTTTGATGCTGGCCAGTCTAAGAGGCATGAGATATCTCAGTGTGGTTTTGATTTACATTTTCCTGATGGTTAGGGATGTTGAACATTTTTTCATGTGTCTGTTGGCCATTTGTACATCTTCTTTTGAGAAATGCCTGTTTAGCTCCTTTGCCCATTTTTAAATCAGTTTACTTTTTTTTTTTTTTTTAACTGAAGTTATTTGAGTTCCTTCTGTATTCTGGATATTAATCCCTTGTTCGATGCATAGTTTGCAAATGTTTTTTTCACTTTCTGTAGGTTGTCTTTTCTCTGTTAATTGTGTCTTTTGCTGTTCAGAAGCTTTTTATTTTGATATAATCACATTTGTTTATTTTTTTCTTTTTTTGCCTGTGCTTTTGGGGTCTTATTCATAAAGTCTTTGCCCAGTCATATACTTACATTGGGAAGTGTTTCCCCTGTATTTTCTTTTAGGAGTTTTATAGTTTCAAGTCTTATATTTAAGTATTTAATCCATTTTGAATCTTATTTCTTAAAACTACATGTGAATCTGTAATCTCATTAAAAGTTTAATTTGGGCTGGCCCCATGGCTCACTTGGGAGGAGAGTGCAGCGCTGGTAGCGCCGAGGCCACAGGTTTGGATCCTATATAGGGACGGCTGGTGCGCTTACTGGCTGAGGGTGGTGCAGGCAACACCAAAGGGGTTACGATCCCCTTAGCAGTCAAAAAAAAAAAGAAAGTTTGATTTAAAAAAAAAAAGAAAAAGAAAAAACCTTAAGTTTGCTCAGCTCCAAAAGTCTCCTTTAGCAGAGGTCTTTCTGATGGGAAATTTATTTTTCAATTATGAGCATGTCCAGTCTTAATGTCACCAGAATTGCATAATTTTTTACATTTTCCCACTACCCGGCTAATATTTTCATAGGATGAGGAAAACATGAGTAATTGATTCCTCCAGCCAAACTAACCCACTTTTTTTTTTTTTTTTTTTTTTTTTTTGTCCATTTGAGGTTCTGGTGTGGGATGTATAACCGCTTTGACAAAGGATTGCAGCCCAAGCAGAGTATGATAGAGAGCCTCCTGGAAATTAAGAAACAGAGAGCAATGCTAGAGGCAGATGTGCATGAACTAGAAAAGGTGAGGAGAAAGGTTGCAAGAAGAGATCCTTTTGCCCCTTCTGGGTAGGCCCAGCCTACTTGGAGTTGAATTGGTACTTGTGGAAAGCTACCTGGCTGGCTTGTTATGCTCTCTGGCTTCCAAGTGTCCTGTGTCTACAAAGCTCTAAGCATAACTCCTTTTCTTATTTCCCATATGTATTAGTCCTTTTATGTTGCTTGTAACAAAATACCTGCAACTGAGGGATTTATAAAGAAAAACATTTATTGCTTACAGTTTCTGAAACTGGGAAGTCCAAAGTCCATCTGGTGGTGGCAGCCGTGACGCAGGGGTCTCACATTGCAAGATGGTGGAAGCAGAGAGAGCAGAGAGAGAGAAAGACAGATTCTCCTCTTCCTTTAAAGACCTCAGAACCATGCCCCTAACCACCATTTTAAATCCATTCACTACTGCACGGTCCTAAGGCTTCAACTTTCAATTACCATAGTAGGATTTTCCACCCTTTTAACAATCACAGTGAGGGTTAAGTTTCTAATACATAAAACTTGGGGAATACAATTCAAGCTTCAGTGAGTTTGGGGGGACATAATTCAGTCCAGTACACCATAGTGTGGCAAATATCTCACTCAGCTAGTTAAACAAATGTACTGGTTCCCTTTTTGTATCTGGGTGGAATGTTAGGAGGAGCAAGAGGGGATGACAAGGAAATCACACTGGCATTTGTTACCCATCAAGAGAATAAGTATAACATCTTGGGGTGCTGATGAGATCAATGAAATTGCTATATTTCTAATTTAGAAAACTTTGTAAAAGAAGATTCTTATATTCCTCCCATGTAGCAAGCTCTGTTCATTGTGTGGCTGTGCTATGTTTGTTTATTTTGCTTTACAATACCAGCAAAACCAAAGTTGGACACTTGTTTTTAATTACAGGTTAAACAAGTCAATAAGGATTTTTTTTTTTTAATATGGAAAATACTGGGCTGCTTCGGGAGTCTAGGGATCCCTAAGGGTTTGTTTGAAGGAGAGGGGAGGGGTACCCTATAGTAGAGAATTCTTGGAAAGAGTGTGCTGTTGAGGAGAGGGGTGTGAACTGACTTCAGGCCAGATAAGTCGTAGTTTTCCTGCTCCCTATAAGTAAACAAATATCCTTTATATTGTGGAAATAAATGTGTTATGATTACATCAGATCCCAAACTTTTAAAAGTCTTTTTTGTTTTGTCTTTTGTATTTTGGCAGCGGCTGTTACTGAGATCCGAACCCTGACCTTGGTGTTATCAGCACCACACTCTAACCAAGTGAGCTAACTGGTTAGCTGAGATCCAAACTGTTGAATTTCTTCTTGGGAAGCAACAGCCAGCCAGTTACTCGATTCCATTAAGGGAAAAAAAAAAAAAAAAAAAAAAAGGCTGAAGTATGACTTAAAATTGTAGGAAACAAGTAGCCTCAGGAAGGCCCAACCCTAGGCAGAATTAGGCAACTTCTTCATAAGGCCTCCTGCCTCCTCTTTTAGCTATTAACAGTCATTTCCACAAGGCTCCTAGAGGAGGTCACCTGCCCTAGATCCAGCCCTCTCACTTATCCCTGCCTGGTTCCCAAGAGAGAATCAAATTCATTTCAGATAGACTGAGATCATTCTCTAGAAGGGCTTCCTTTTAAAGTGTGTGTGTGTGTGTGTGTGTGTGTGTGTGTGTGTGTGTGTGTGTGTGTATGAGTATATTAACTTCCTTTTTTAAATACAGAGAATAAAAATAAAAATGGCCCATAATATCATCACCTAGACAACCCTGTAAAGTTAGAAAATGCAGAATACAATAAGGTACAAAATGAAAAGTTTAAAAGACTTCCCCAGCCACCTCCCAGTTCTAGTGCCTCTCTCCAAGGATCCTCACCATTTTTATTGCATATCACTGTGATTTTGTGATTTCCAGGAAAATAAAAATGATATGCCCAAACTCTAAGACAGGAACTCTTAACTGGAGTCTGTAAACCCACAGGTAGCCATAGATGGGTTTCTGAGGTCTATGGACCCCCTAAAATTATGTCTAAAAACTGTATGTGTGCACTGTCTTGTGCACATACATTTGCATGCATGCATTTCTCTGAGGAGAAGGTCCATCATTTTCTTCAAATTTTCAAAGGTGTCTATGACCGTAAAGAGTCAGTAGTGTAAAGTATCAGTGAATCGTCCTGTTATCCCTAAAAGAGAAAATATCTATTGGAGGTAGTATGAGATCATAGACAGGTCATAGATTTTGGCATTAAGAAGATGCAGGATCAGGTCACAGCTTTCCACTTCTAAATGTATGTGTTTGGGTGACTTACTTAACTTCTCTGATCCTCAGTTTCCTCATCTATAAAATACAGCTAACATCTAACTAACAGGTTTCTTTGATAAGGATAAAAGGAAGTTATGTGAACTTCCCAGCACATAGAGGTATTCAATAAATGTTAGTGATCCTCTCCCTTGCCCTCCCCCTCCCAATAATAAAATTGCATTTATCAGAAAAGAAGATTTTTATAGATACAAGGCCTTGAGGCTCTTTAATGGTAGGGCTTCTAAAGCACTATGGCAAGTGATAAGGAAAAGATGTTTGGGGTTGGGAGGCATGTGGAGGTTATTTGCTAGTGTATAAGCAAGAGCAGCAGGATCCCTGCTGGTCAGTGTGATATTTTCCTAGTATTTATGTTTCTAATTCTTTTAATCATTCCTTGCTCCCGAGACAGAAACTGAATACGTGTGATGAGCCACCAGAAGAGGTCTGTACCTGCTCTCAATTAGGGAATTTATTATCCCAGCATCTGGGAAGTCCTTTGACCAATCCTCTCGGCTTTATGGGTATTGATGGAGACCTGAATACCTTGATGGAGAATGGCACCCTGTCCAGGGAAGGAAGCCTCCGAGCTCAGATGGATCAAGTAAACAGCCAGTGTGCAGACCTCCACTGTGACTGCTGTGAGATCATGGGCAGTCTTAGGGCCATAAATATGTCTGGGGATGTGAGCATCTCCGAGGCCACGGGCATCTCTGCAGACTTGGGCATCTTTGAGGCTTTGGGCACCTCTGAGGTCACTGGCATCTCTAGAAACATGGGTATTTCTGAGGCCAGGGGCTTCTCTGGAGACATGGGTTTCTCTGGAGGCATGGGCATCATAGAGGACACGGGCATCTCTGAGGACATAGGCACCAAGGAGGCAGGCTTCTCCAAGCAGCAGTGAGCTAGCTACTCATCTGCTTCCATGCTAGGTGCACCTACAGCAGCCAAAATGATCCTCGTCCCAAAGTGGGCCATGCTGCTTTTCCAGTTGGTTTAAGCGAGTGAGGCCAGGGCACTCCTATCCCCACCTAAAAGTCTGGAAAGGGATTTAGGGACTTTACTGATTAAGCTACCAGTGTATGCATGTTAAAGCAGTCCAGAATGTTGGCAAGAGAGAGTGTGTTATTCTTCTAAAATGGTATTTAACTTCAGAAATGTTGCCTTTCAGATGATATGCTTATTAGGCTGGTTCCACTATCTGTTTTCCTTAATGATTAACTTCTCCTCCTTTTCCACCCTTACTGCAATAGCATGAGAGCGAAGTGGAAATATTGTCACAGTGGAAAATTAAGACCTTGTTGAGGGGATGCAGAGATAGTATGTAGCAGGTAACTGTGAATTTCAGAATGTTTTAAAAGAAAATTTTACTTCAGGTATGCTTACTCATGGGATGTTAGCTAATACTATTGCCAGTAGAGACCCCAATATTTGCCTGAGAAATAAATCAAAATGATCCTTAATTGTTAGCATGAGTGCATGGGTGCCTGGTGGTTTAGAACATATAAGGAAAGTTTTCACACTTGGTCTCCTCACCCCACACCCCAGCTAGGTCTTGTTATAATACTCACTTAGCCAATCCCCTTTTCATACATAGCCCGTAAGTAAACTTGAACCTACTACAGTCTAAAGTGATCAATTCCAAATTAGTGGGGTCCGAATTAGTAACATTGATTAATAACATTTTCAGCATCAGTTCTGGAAGCAACTAAAAATCTCAGTGCTGCACATTCTGGCTGAGACATGGTCTATGTGCCCATCTGGGTTTTTGCAAAACAGGCCCTTCTTAGGTCTTCTTATGAAAACCAGTGGTTTTGCTTGTGTAGACATCACATGAAGTTTGTGGCTTTTTAGACACAATTGGCACTTTTAAAATCTGGTAGGTTTGTTACTTTGTGCTAATGTGCAGTGTTGAAAAAAGTCCATTTTTGTAGCAGGTCCAGATACTCCTGGAGGAAGGGAAAGGATGTGTTTTTGTTTAAACACCAGATTTTCCCCTTGGGGTTGATATACTAGCTGGTGTTTCATCTTTCCTATTGGATATCTAGTCATGGTTTTGCCACTTACACATGCTGGAGGTAGGGTAGGCCTCAAACAGTTCAAGTCATGCTCCATATATTGTCAATATTTCCAGAACTCCCAGTGCCAACAGAATCCAGGTCCTCATCCAAGATGTCTATTCTGAATACTCTATGTCTGGTTTAAGCTCAAGAAAAAGAAACAAAAGTTAGACAACTTAAAGAGCCATATCTGTTGACCATCACATCCAGTTGTGAATACAGAAATCTATAAAGGATCACCGCATTTAGAAAGAGGTGCCTTTTAATTTAAGTGTTTAAGTTATGTGTAGGAGAGGAGAACCAAGATAGCTCCTTGATTTCTTACCCTTAGCTAAACTATGGAGCCAAAACAACCTTCCTCTTTAGAGGAAGAACTCTTAAGTTATTTTGGTCGTCTTTTTTTCATATGTAAATAGGAGCCATTTTTCTATTTACCGCCTCTTGGTAACTGTTTTAATTCTGTGTTTTTAAAGAACACAAATTCATTTGAGTCTTTTTTATTCATAAATAGGGGCCATTTTTCTACTTACCTCTTCTTGATAGTTGCCTTTATTCTATAATTTTAAAGCATCAAGGTGATTTTTTATTCTTCTCTGATCTCCATTTTTCCACAATTTTGTCCTTAGCTTATATAGCCTAAATAATCAGATGTTGCCAGTCGTCATTTGACTTCTTACTTTTGGAAAAAATAGTGTTTTGATCTGGAGGCTACATCTAACCCTAGCTTTGTGAGGGAAGTTGTCAAAAAGGATGATAGTACCAATCTGATAGGAGTGAGCCTATTCTGGGTTTTGCTTTATACCCAGGACTTTCTCCCCATCTCAATCTGTATTTTGCAGTTCCTTAACTAGCATGATATTCCAGATATAGTGTGTTGAGTTTTTGTTGTTGTTATTGTTTTGTTGTTGGGGGGGAGAGTTGTGGGGAGGAAAAAGGAAAATGGCAAGGTGTAGTAGTTTTTGAAAATGCTATAAAAGCTAGTTTAAAAGTCTCATATTTATTTCTAAAGACCTATGTAAGGACAGTACGTAGTACCCAACTTTATTTCTTAGATACAAAACAAAATAATCCAATAGTGAAAAGAAGGTCTTTTCAATAGAATTCTAAACTGAAAAGTGATAAATAGCAACCCTGATATTTCCAAAAGCAAAAACAATTTTTAAAAAGACTGTCTTATTTTGTTGAGTATCTAAGGCCATGGAATCAATTTTAGCCTCAAGATCTGTGAGATCAATTTGTTTGGCCTTTTACTTTTTATTCCTCAACATATCCCATTATTGCTTATGTGTAATGTATACAGAATTAAGGAAAACCTTGTAAAAACTTCCTATTTATTCTTAACACCAAACACCTTCTTGTTTTACACTTGGATTTAAAAATCTGAGAGGAAAAAAGGTTCAATGGAATCTAAATATTTATGTACTGTTAAAAACCCAGTAACTATCTGTAGTCAGGAGCCTAGTTATAGAGAGGATAGTCCTGAAGAAATCCAAATCTTTTTAAGAGGTGCTTTTCAAACCAAATTGGTAAATATTTAAGCTTGGCTTGAATTTAGCAGAAAGAGAAGTTTAAAGGATACTTGTGTCAGATCTTTGTTACATACTGGCTTTTATTAAACACACGCTACTTTTTCTTGATGCTCTTAGTCTTTGATATACCACTGGGAATCACACTCATTGGGAAATCTTTCTACGAGAGTATTTTTATAAAGTGGTCTTTTTTGTGTGGGGAAATGTAAATTACCTTTAAGAAAAATACTTCTCTCCAAAGGGATTTACTGTACTCCAGATTGGTTTATACCCAAAAAGGTTGTTCTCACTTTCCCTTTTAATTCCCAATGTGTATGAATTAGTGATGTCTATACCAAATCTTTTCCCCACACTCAGGCCTCTCCCTTCTAGAATTCTATGTATGATGCAGGCAAGATATGATTCCAACCAAATTTGTTTGCTTTCTTCTAAGTGCCAAATCTAGACCTGAATTTTGATAGAGACATTTAAAAACAAGCAAAAAGTAGACATGGCTTAAGCCTAAAATTTTTTCCTATGTTTTTTCTTTTGGTTTTCTTTTTGTTGTTTTTTTTTTTAATGTAAAGAAATGGCTGGTCTGTCAGGTGACACCAAAGGACAAGGGGAAAGATTTGGGGTCATAAAGAACTCTTGTTTTGTATTCCTTTTAAAGGTAGTTCTGTTTTCAAGGCATTTGATGATAACATAGAGGCTTTTTCAAGCCCCCCCCCCCCAAAAAAAATACTTTTTAAGCCCTACAGAACATGTCTTCTCTGATTTGCTGAGGGACTGACAATTTGTGCCTTCCCCTTAAATAGGAAATATTGGTATTGTCACCAGTTATGGCAGCCCACATCTCCGTTAGATGTCAGTGTGAGTAAGAGTGTGTTACATGCTCCATGATTTGTGACTTGTCTTCATAAAAGACAAGCGTTCTTTGAAAGCAGCTGTCTAATTTAGGCCCATGTTTCATACAGGGGCAAAACAAAAACATGTTCAGAAGTTAGCATGTGTGAAACCAGTGGCTTCCATGTTAAGTCTGGTGCCCTGTCCCTTGGTGTTTTCTAAAGCTTTGGGGGTGACCTAAAAGCTTCTTTATCTTCCAAAGCTTTGTTGCCTTTCAACCATTTTCATGGCTTTGTACTCTGACTCTTCAGAGGGTACTATGTCAGTACAGAATCCCAGTTGTGGAGTAGCTCAGGGAAGGGCAAGAGGGAAGAGAGGCTAATACAGAAATATATGTGTCCAGTTAAACAAAAGGAGTGTATACCCATCCATGATGACCAGCATTCCAGTTATTTAAGATTTCATGTGCTCCTCAGATTAAATTGTTCACAGAAAGGTCCTCTTTTTCAGGCAGTACTATAACTAACACATTTTCTTTTAAGGCTTTTACACTGGTAGAAACTCCTTAAGAATACTGAGTCGTGTATTTTCTCTGTCAATACTTTCCTCTGCTGGGGCATGTGTGATCCTGGGTTTTCTTTTCTTTTAGAGCCTCAAGGATGGTGGGTGGTATTCTCTCCCCTTAATATGTTCCTAAGGCAGATGAGTCCTGAACCCTCTCTTTGTTTCTGTAGCTGAAGCATCACTGGATCCCTCACTACTCAGGTGAGAATATGTACACCAAACTCAATAGATGGTCACTATTTAAAGACCCATGTTTTTGGTTCCACCTCACATGCAGTTGGCCACACCAGTTTACTTAAAGTATCTCCAAGTCTTCACCTCACTCACATTTCCAGACGGGGTGGTTTCTGTATTTTGTGAATGCCAGTAGGAATGCATGCAGAGCACGTATCCTAGTTCTGAAACAGAGCATGTTCAGTATTGTAGTTTAACAGTGCCTCAGGCTTAGGAACAGCAGCTAACAAGTTCAGTCCTTTTGGAATGTAACTCATAGTAAGACTATTTGTATATATGTGTGTTTACTGTAACTTTAGTAGCATCTGATCTCATAGGTCATTTGGGCATTCAGATGAAGAGAATTTGTCCAAGATTAAATAACTCTTAGTGTTAAACCTCTATCTTTGCTATTATCCAACTAAGTGCCATGAGGACTTTGGGACATGCTAAGCCAGAGACACAAACCAAAGTGAAACAATTGGCCTTTTCTCTGGGGTGTATTGATCAGGCAGCTTTAGAAGTAAGATTCAAATATAATGGCCCATGTTACCTGTAGTGTGTTAATGTCTGCCTCATGCCTACATGGACATCATGCAACTGATGTATAATTCAGAATCCAAACTCCATAGGTTGAGAACCTGACTTTTCATTAGCCCCAGGTTTACAGAATGACACTGTCACAGCAGCTCAAGTCTGAACTTGCCAAGTAC